ATTGCTATCATATACAGCAATGACAGCTGTTTTATGAGGCCTAGTTAGAAAGATAAGGACATTAGATTTGTACCGTGTGGTTTGCAATGAATAATAAAAGCAACCTTTAGACATTTATGGCGTCCTGTTTTGATGGGGTTGTTTTTACATTTATCACCACATGTGCTGAAGTGCAAAGTGGACAAAGCTATTCATGAACTTTGAGACAAATAAAATTCTGACAGGACTTGATGTGCTCTGTATCAGAAACAAATGTGATCCAATCTCATGTTTCTTAATGCACTCAGACCTGCCAAAATAAAAAGTGGTGCTCGGCTGCTTTTTCTGTTTTGAAGTGGTAAAAAAAAAAAACATTCGGGCAACGTGGCATCTATTGTACACGACACACTGAAAATAAAAACCTCTACAGGTGAACAAGCTAGAGAAAATCTCCACCTGATGCAAAAGGCTAGCTGTGTACATCTGGCAAAATTCTGACACCATCCGTTTTTTGTTTTTTTTCCGCATACTGTAGTTCTCTTCATGTCGCGCTCGCTTTTCACGCAAAAACAAGCTGCACGAATGAAGACTAACAATTTGTCTTTTTCTTTGCCCGTCTACCTTCAGACAGCAGGTACATACAGCAGGTTTTCATTCACAGGAGCAAAGAATAATTCAAAAAAATACGTTTTTACCACAATAAGTTTTCCCTTTCGTATGTCAAACTAAATATCTTGATGGATTTCAACAAAAAAAACTTTGAGCAGTAAAACATTGGCCGGTATCTTTTATTCAGTGTTTTGACAAAAATCCTCTTTACCAGTCCACATCGTACATGTCACGGTATTGTGAACATCACTTCATCTGGTTTCTCTACCTGCCTGCCACAAAGATAGACGGTGGTATTCCCAACGATGATGCGTTTAGGGATGTTGCTGTGTAAGTCAAAGCCACTCCGTGTAGTCGTTTAGTGGCACAAAGCAACACAAGAACAGTTTACAGCGAGATTTTGTCATCCAACGAAAAAACAGAATCATTTAAAAGACGCATCAGTCCCATTATAAAGTAACAGTACTGTCTTACATAATCAGTTACAAGCAAGGCATTTAGATGACTCGACTAGTTGTGTGCTTTACTCCCGCGCTGGAGCAGGAATATATTCGCGTGTCTCTTTTAAGGATAAAACTTCTCATGCACTTTGCAAAATGTCCACACTTAATCAAGCCTGTTACTGTGCGCAGACGCCATTCCTCACCGTAAGGGTTGTCTGTGCAAAGCTTGGCATTAGTTAGTTGAGCTAATAAGGCTAATAAAGTCACAAGGCAGACATGGACGGCACGCTAAAGTATGGCATCTTTGAGAACAACGCCTGTTCTACAAGGCAAACCAGTTTGTAGTAGTGTAATAAATAATTAGCTGTGGATTTAAAAAAAAAAAAAGAAAGTATTTTACCTTAAATGTTTCTTGATGTACCCTGAGCAGTGACTTTAACTTGTGCAGATGGAAACGAATGCATAAAGCTGTCGAGTTTGGAACTGCAGTTACAGAATGGCACTACGAGTTACGAAATGTTAACATAAAAATATCTGTTGATCAAGTACCCCTAATATAACCCAGATTCACATGTAATTATATACATCAACTACTATCCCCAGGTTAAAAAAAAGTTAATAAATATAAAGAGCAAACATTTAGACAGACATTTAGATGTAGTCGTTAGTGCAATGTTAATGAAGTCTAGCTTAATTCTATTAGGTAGTTGAGACAGTAGCATACGTTTAGGCCGGCCCTCTAAACAAAAGTGTGTCTGTTCGACTCAGAGAGCGCGTTTATTGCCAGTTTAAGGCCCAACCCCAGAACCCACAAGACAGCTAGCTCTTGGCACGGTTATCTTATTTATCCTGAAATAAAATTCACTTGGTAATAAATTAAGTGAACTATGACACCCCCGCCCCCCAAACCCCAAACCATTCTCGCTCTGAGGAGTATTTGTAGCATTAGATGTTCATTAGGTGGAAGACTGCGGTGACGATACAATCTGAGATCGGTCTTACTATTGGCTGTGGAAAGGCACATGAGGATGAGGATCAGCTTAAGATGCAAAAAAAAAAAAGGGAATTCTAATTGTTCGGGTGGAGGGTTATAATCTGCAGACAGAAGGCCAGGTAAAGAAACATGAGGTGAAACTTCACCCAACTCACGCTCTGCTTTGGAAGCAAATCCCTAGTGGTCATTTCCCTTTTGAAAAAAAAAAACAACAAACATCCGCTGCTATTTCTTGGCAGGTGTGCTCAAGAGAATGTGCATGTGTACGTATGTGTGTACGTATGTGTGTGTGTGTGTGTGAGTTTGTGCGTCTTTAATTCTTTGATGTCTTCAGTGAACCCATGTAAAGAAGGCGATCTCATCCAGGTCCACGGGGTAGTCAGTGAGGTACATGGGGCCTTTGTCAAAATGCTCCCCCTTGTAGCTTTTCCATCGTCCTGCGGGCAGGTAGATGTCCCTCTCTTGCTTTCCCGGCTCCAACACCGGCGCCACCATCAGGTCATCCCCGATCAGGAACTGGGAGTCGATCTTGTAGGCCGCCTCGTCGTCGTTGGCGATCCACCAGAGGGGCCTGATGATGGGGTCTCCTGTATCAAGAACCTCGCCCGCCAGTTCCAGAACCCTCGGGGCCACCAGAGTTTCGTGGAGCTCTGTGAACTTCTGCGCTATCTGTATCACCTGCGGGTGAATGTGCAGAGATGCAGCGTTAGCATCACTTCAGCCAGCAGCCAGACTGTAGCATGACGGCTGGTTAATTAGGTCTTGATTTTTTTAACAAAACATATTGATATATATATATATATATGTGTCACAGTCCAGGTGGATTTTAAATCTGCCTAGGCGAAACTGAAATGTTGATTTGGTCAGAATTAAAATTTAGATTTCACCGAGATCATATTAAAATCCTTCGTACATAATAATGAGACTGTAATCCTGCCGGGGCAAATTTTAATTTGGACTGTGACAAATACATAGCGAGGTGTGACACACTGCAAAGTGTTAATCCGATATAATCTCCACACTTCCCCATGGTGTGAACCTCTCATTCTTTAATGCTGTAACCACATCAAAATCTTACAGAGCCCGTCTGGTGACATCGATAAGAAATGAAAATAACTCGTTCCCACACATTAGTAAATCGTGGCCACGAGTTATTAATGTGTGGGAACGACATAGTTAAGTCGTGGCTTCGCATTACTAATATGAAGAAACAAGAGAAGTTGTGGAGCAAATTTCACAATGTGGTCATACCAGCTGTCGATTAGGGATAACAGGTGTACTTGCATGGAACATGGAGCATTTTGATTTGATTTGATTTGAACCTTGGAATGAACTACACTGATATCCTGCAATCTCTTGCAATGAAACACTGTGTGATAATTAAGTCCTTCCCACGCATTAATAACTCGTGGCCACGATTTACTAATGCGTGGGAACGAGTTATTTTATTTCTTATCGATGTCACCAGACGGGCTCCGTAAAATCTCAATCCTGCCTAGATCAAATCTTACCTTTGCCTAAAGTCAGGTAACTTTTTATTTTCTTTTTGCCATGAGCAGTGTCTGCAGTTTCCCTCACAATAAACTCCACCTAGAAGAACGGGCCACGTGCAGATGCAGTGCTCTCACTGATAAAACTCTACTGCTTTGTGTACAGGGCAGTAATAAAGGTCTTTCAATGCATTCAGAGCCTCCCATGTCTGAACTTTGGTGGTTGGACAGTCAGAGGAGAGAGTTTGGAGGTCTTTCAGGAAGTACTTTAGTAAGTATCTCAATATTTGTGCACAAAAATGACACATTCTAGTGAAACTTTCTGTGCAAATCGCTGCACTTCTGACTAAATTGGTGTCATGAGTACAGATCTTCATTGACACACGTGTTCGTCTTAATCCGTGGATTACAACCTTTTGTGTTTTTGCACCACTTTTCTGTGGAAAGATGTGAAAACAGCAACACTGCATATGTAGCCAACAGTCATGTTTTGGTCTCAGTTTGTTTCACACCCTCTAACGACCTGAAACCACAACGTGCTGTAGGTTTAAACCGTGGTGCCCCCCTGTGGCAGCAACAAGGTTTAAACTACAGTAGAAGCAACAAACAACTTTTCTCCAAGGAAAAACGTGTCCCTCCAGAATAATTTGAAGATGCAATAATTCTCTGTTTTAACTCAAACATTCAGGTCTAAATCTCTTCTTTTA